GGGGGGGGGGGGGGGGGGGGATGGGTCGGAAGGGAAGAATCTTAGAGGTGATGTCCCTGAAAAGGCACTCTATCAATCACCAGGTATCACAAAACTGCGTGGTCTTCTACAAGGGGATATATAGCGCGCATAAAACAGAAGAAAAAAATCGCACACAAAAAAGATCACCATGATCGTAACGGCTAAATATACTTTTGATAAAGAGGCGTGTCACTGCGGCTGTCCTTCCCCACTTGCTGAAGCGGGTAAGCCACACCAAATGGTGAAAAAAACGACTGATACGAACCGTGTGGCACAACCTTGTCGCTCTTCAAAATCTTGGCACACGCCGAAGCCATCAAGCCTCGATACATTCCATCGTCCGCAGTTAACAAGACTGTACATCCCCTTTCATCCCCTCTGCTCCTATGTGAGCTCAACAACGGCGACGTAGGCTGACTCTGTTGTTCCTTTCTCAGCAGAAGCGTTCCTGCGTCATTCTTTTCCGCGACCGCAAAGGAATTCACAGTTCTTAGTGGATGTTTTCAGCCAGCAAGTATGCAAATCGAAGTCTTCAATGCGGCCGGAAATGTTGTTCGTACCTACACAAACACTGGAACCACATTAGCCGCCACTGTGAGTACAGTTTGCGGCTCGTCACCTAACCAAGCTTTTACTTATCCCTTTTGGGCATGATCTGAGGAATTCGTTTCAGGTGTTCTGTAGGAACGGTGTGTGGACAGCACGAGTCGCTAGTGCCGGTACGGACCAGTTCGTTCCAATCTCTTCGGTATGATCTCTTTCATGTACTAATTGGCGTTGACTCGCAGAAACTTGAATGAGTAATCATTTAGGTTTCCTGCGCTCAAGCTGGCTCCAGCGGCACCGACCTAGGCTACGTGATCGGACAGTCTATTAGCAAGTAAATGACTTGCTGTAGCCGGACATAATAATGTAATATATGCACATAATAAAAACAGTATTTCGCTAGACAGAATAAATACTTATTCGAGAACATGTTTTTACTCATCGAGTTTCGTTCAAGAGCCTCAACGACTTCACCTTAGCCAAACAGGAACCTTAGGCAATTGGTCACAGAACTCGAATAAGCCTCATTTTGAGGCCTGCAATTCACAGCACCACGAAGAAAATGTTCTTTCAAGGTTATAAATGACTGTTCTTTTTCAAAGAAGAGTAGCGCGATAAATCGACAGTCGAAGTGAAGTGAATACGCATACCTATTGTCTGCACAATGCCAACAGGAAACTCCTTAGAAATCACTTCCTGTCAGCAGTGTCCAATTTCTTTGAGAACAAAGGCTTTTGATCGTTTCACTTCGCCTTTTTTTCTCATTTTCCCCACTTCTTAGAACATTGTGCTGGGGCCTTTTTAGACCGGCGTTCCAGATACCGGTCGCGCTCATGCCTTTAAAAGGAAATATCACGGCTTTGGTTGGATCCAGTGTCGTCATATAACGAATTTCAGTTCTAGAAAACAAACAGCCGCTCTTCAGCAAGACAATAATTCTCCTCTCTTTCTAATTGGAAAAAATACAAAGCTTGAGAGTTATTTTTAAATAGGAAATAGGAGTAAGTTATCAATGTCCATTCATCATTTTGGGTCGCGCAACGCGTTCATTTTACAATTCGGCATCATAGTGCCATTTTTGAATATGATTTTGCCAATATTAGGAAAAAAATAGGACATTAGCAAGAACATAACTGCATCATCTTGGATTGTCCATCGTTACCACACGCCCCTTATAAGGGAAGTCTTTCAGGTCGTGCGCGCTTTTTGAGAAAAAAGTGTGTGGTTGGCTTGTTGAGGGTCCATACAAGGATCACAAAAATGGGTTTCATTTTTGCTATGCATTTCTGGGGAGGTCAAAAACTGAGTGAAAAGAATTTGACAAGAATGGGTGATTTTAACTGCCTAACGACTCCGTTGCTGATCGCAACTTACGAGGCATGCATGAGCTTACAGGTCTCGCTTAATTACCTTCGAAGAATAGTTTTTCAAATAAAGTCAAAATTGTAAGAACTCACCCTGTATCAAAGTGCTACCCGTTGACTCATCGAGTTCCTCGAGCCGGGCGCCAGTAACGCTCAACCCATTCGTCCCGCCAACCGTGAAGAGTTTTGCCCAATGAACTCTCCATGTTCACGGGACACGATGAACATCATACCATTCGTTCAGAGCTTTCGCGAAGAAGTCTGACCATCGCATAGGCGGTTGTCCAGGCGTTCGCATCCCGTGGAATACAGACGTCGCTCTGGTCCAGCGGTCCGTCCTCGAAACGCACATGACGTGTCGGCCCATGTGATCTTCGAAGCCGCTTGGCGAAATGCGGCGGCAGTCTCTGGTCTTTTCGCACCTTGCTTCGCGCGGAGTGCGGAGCTCCGGATTCCCTCTCTCACTTGCGTGTAGCGGGAAACTCCGAGCATCGCCCTTTCGATGGCGCGTTGAATAACGCCGACCGCATGCTCATCCTGCTTTCGTAGAGTCCAAGTCTCTGAGGCGTACGTCAAGGCAGGAAGGACCGCGGAATCGAAGAGGTGGGCACGGAGCTTGGTGTTCTTCGTCTTCTTCGCTACTCCCTCGATGTTCTTGAAGGCTCCCCAAGCCGCTCGCTTCCTCCTGCTCAGCTCTGGTGCTAAGTCGTTCATCATATTGATTTCACGACCCAGGTACACATAGCTAGAGCATTCAGAGATGGTCGTTTCCGTTGAGCATGAATGAGGCATCCGAAGCCAATCCGTTTCTCATGAACATCGTCTTCGTTAGAGTTCAGCCTATAGACCGCATTTTTTTCCAACACGCGCAGTCGAATTCAGCCAGCATTCGTTCCGCTTGCTCGATGTTTGGTGTTATCAAAACGATGTCGTCAGCAAAGCGGAGATGGTGTAGTTGCCGACCGTCGATCTTCACTCCCATGTCTTCCCATTCCAGTTGACGCATGACGTTCTCGAGAGAGGCGCTGAAGAGCTTCGGCGGCGGGAAGATGGTGTCATCCTGTCGGACCCCTCTCTTCACTTCGATGATGATCTCCTTGTAGAATGGTGAGATATTGGTCGCGAAGTTGCTGTAGAGCTCACGAAGAATCCTGATGTGCTGAGTAGGGATTCCCTGGTTGCCCAGGGCTTCGATAACCGCTTCTGTCTCAACGGAGTCGAAGGCTTTCTTCAAGTCGATGAACGTGAGACATAGCGGCATCTTGTACTCTCGCGATACTTCGATGAGCTTCGTTACCGTGTGGATGTGATCGATCGTGCTGAATCCTCTTCGAAACCCTGCTTGCTCGCATGGCTGTCCTTCGTCTAGTGTTCTGCCAATCCTGTTCAGGATGACTCGTGTGAAGAGTTTGTAGACTACAGACAGCAGGCAGATTGGGCGATAATTGCCAATGTCGTACAGGTCTCCCTTCTGTACAGCAACACAGTCTTGCTGGTTTTCCACGAGGTGGGTACCTTGCATTCCGACAGGTAGCGCGTGAAGAGAGAGAGCATGAGCGGAGTTTGACCAAGAAACTGGCGCAAAGTTCTTCAGATGTCGGGTCTGATCCTGTCGGGACCGGGTGCCGTACGATTCTTTACCGACGAGATGGCGTGTCGGACTTCGAAAGGGAGAACTGCAGGAACCGAAATATTCATCCCTGCCCAAGCGGTATGGTTCGTGGACTGGCTGTCAAAAGTAGATTCCGAGTAGGAAGTCGGTGATGACTTTCTCCATTGCCCCTCTGGTATGCGCGACATTCTCCATTCCGGCGTGGAGGCGGTCATCTTGGTCTGTAACAGCGTCGGCGAAGTTGCGGCGGGTGTTGCAGTAGTACTCTTCCCAGTCCATCTGGCGGCTATCCACGCAGTAATTGCGCTCTTCTCTCGGCTTGAAGGTCTCCAACTTTATCGCTTCTCTGCATAGCTTCGCAAGCTCAGACGTGCTGGTAATTGCCTTGCGCGCTCGTATGGCTCCACGTTTGGCGAATCAGTTCGAGAGTTTCCAGAGATAGACGCTTCTTGGTAATCTTGGAACTCTCTGACTTCTTGGCGCAGTCGTGAAGATGTGCGACAAGCCGTTCGTATTCCCTCGTCGATGTTGTCGATGACGGAATCCTCCCAGAGCCCAGCGAGAGAAGTTATTTTATTTTTCTAGCAGTTTGATGACAGGTCTTGGGCTTTGCTTCTTGAACTTTGCGGCTCTTTCTCCTCGCAATCGTGAAGCGGAATCGGAAAGGAGACGGTGGTCGGATCCCGTGTAGAACTTAGGAACAACAGCGACATCGGTCAGGCAAAACCTTCGATTGAAGATGATGTGGTCGATCTCGTTATGGAATTGTCCACCAGGAGACTTCCATGTCCAGCGTAGAGAGTACCTCCGGAACTCGCGAGTTACCGTGATGTTATGGGTCGACGTGATATACTCAGACAGCCTTCCACCGTGTTCATTCGACTCCGTTCCGTGAGTTCCGATGTAAAGTTCTTCAGCGCTTCGAGCTCATCCTCGTCGTAGCTTGATGTTGGTGCGTAGGCGACGAAGATTGTCAAAGCTGGAGTTGAACCACATCTTCTCAATCGCAAACGTCCGATTCGGGTCGTCAGATTTCGTACGAATCGATGTTCATGGCCAAGTGCGTGTTGACGAGGACAAAAAAAAAAAAAAAAACCAGCCAACGCCTCTGGTGTTAGCATGTTTCGAGATATACAGTCCTCGTATACGGCGTGTAGCGAATCCCCATGACAGTCCCAGTCAATCCCTGCTTGCAAACTCAGACATCTATTCGATAGTGGAGCTTTCGATGCAAGGCGTTAGTGCGTTGAACGTACAGAAATTGTCGTCCTAAAAGTCCTAGGGGACTCAAATCTCCGTTAAAAGATCTTGAAGATCTGCGGTAACCAGCCGACCGTCGCCCCTTCGGTGTATAATCAGGTTCAAGGGATGAAAGGCCCATAATTATTACTGCTTTGCGACAAATCAATCACGCACTACTACAGGCTCTGAGAATGGCAACCACTCCGCATTGGTACGGTGTTGACGTAGAGAAGGAGAGAGAGAAGTTCACCCCCACGCCAGTTGAGAGCATCCGCGGATAGGAATTTGTGGGAAAGGGAATGGAGGAATGTAAGACAGTAATACACTTGGCAGCAGTGCAACCACACCCCGCGACGCAACATTACCTTACAAAACAGCTCGGTTGTGTGGAGAAGCCTGTTTTCGGAATTGTCCTCGTCTCGTTGCGTTAACCTTTCCCTTCATTGATAGACAAATCGAACAACTGTGATAAAGTTTGACAAAACATGAGAAGCATATGCATCTATTGCACCAATTACTCCTAACAAACGCCAGAGAAGAACAGCTACTGTCTTCTTGACAAGGGACGACAGCATCTAATTCGTTGAATCCGAAGTCGGTCGGCGTTGAAAACGGTCCAGAATGCTTTTCGACATACCCACGGCCACTCAGGCGTACGCAATACATGAACGAAATCTGGGGGCGCAAAATTGATCAGAATCAGAATGGAGAATATGCCTTCGAATGTCATATACTTGGCTTATTTCCACTGCTATGAAAAAAAAGACACACAGAACGCGAATTAGTAGAGAAGCTGAAAAATGCAAATGTCCGCAAGTAAGGATCCGAATCCACCGACGCAGCCACATAAACTAGCACGCCCGACTTTAATCAGAACGAGCCGGCATCAGATAGTTAAGAATCGGCCTTATTCTGTCATAATTCTTTTCAATTCACTTTTTGACGCGCTCTCCGCCAGAAACCGAGTAACACAAACGAAACCCAATTTTCGTGATCAACCATTTGTGATCCTTGTATGGACCCCTACAACAAGCAACAAACCATTTCCAAAAAGCGCGCCACGACCTGAAAGACCTCCTCATGGGATATTTCAATTTGAGACAACTGTCATCTTGTACTG